TTCCTTTAATGTACATATATATTAAAATATCTACCTTTACAATATAACATGGCTAATGAGTTTTGAAATTTTATATTTATTGCTTAAAAGGGGGCCAACAAGCCATAACAATTCCTTTCTTTTCTGATTTGCAAATAAGAAGTAATATGTAGCAAAAAATTCAAATTGAGAATATGAATTATATTATGCTTATTTGAAGCTTAACTACCAAACATAATTGTACTACAAATTCCAGACATAAACAGGTAAATCAGTTTTAATTAAATAAGGGAAATTATAATGTTATGGCATGGACATTGGCATTAATTGTTACAGTAGTGACACAATAACGGTAGTGATATTTTTATTAATAGCCAGTTTTATATGTTTACTTTATAAGATAATTTAATGAAATTTGTCAGTCTGATATTTCAGACTGTTTGAAGAATATGTAATAGGCAAAAGATTTACTTATGGATGTCACTGTCATGTAAAAAAACCCAGCTAATGACTGCATGTTACGGCAGTGACATTGTGATGGTATATAATGTCACAACCGTAACAGCCCTATCACAGCCGTGTTCTTCTTTGTCACAGCCGTTACACTACCCTGTCCCTACTGTAACAACAAATTTATACTTATATGCTTATTGATTTTATTCATTTGATACAAAAGTTTTGTGTTAAATAAGATTCCAAAACATTTCATATCTTTGAATTTAAAATATAGATACAAACAACATTAAATAGAAAAATGTCACAGCCGTCACAAAATCTGTCCTTACCGTAACAAATGCATGATAACAGCAGTGACCGTAACGGTAGTGACAGCCACTAACAATATCAGCTTTAAAACAATAACTGGCCCCCAAAGTTTACTGAGCACATGGTTTCAAATGATTTCCCCTACTGTCTAAGGTACTTGGCATTGTTTGGCTTCACAAAATTTACTGGTTTTAGCGGTAACCACCGTAACGGTTAGGACATGCAAAAATCTCAGATATCATTTTGTACACACGGTTTTTGCGATAAAATTGAGAAAAATCATATATTTTTTTGTGTCAGTGTTTGACAGCTATGTTTCCTCACTGCCATTGCTTGAAGTAGAATTAGAAGACAGTACAGGAGTAATCATTATTGCAATTTGGGGGATGCTACAGTAGTGACATCAAACCTTGTGACAAAGTTTGAACTTTTTTACAAAATGATTTTCCATACAGAACAGGCCAAACCACACCAAGCATGTAGCTGTAACATTATTAATTATGATATGTTAAAGATTTCTTTTGAAAAACATGAAAAGACAAAACATCAAATTGCACATTGACCACTGGAGTTGTGACACTTGAAAATTGAGTAAAATTGGGGGTTTAAAATAAATATAAAAACATTTTATTCCCAATTTTGTTTCTGTATAGTGTAGAATAAACTGAGATAAATTGGTTACCATAAAAAATTATTGATTTTGACTTAAGTTTGTCAGGTACAAACATATAGCATAAATATGCACAAATTTTGAGAATGACTCATATACATTTGAGCGTGTCAAAATATATCAATAAAGTGTACCTTTGAATAAGCTCTCAGTCAGGACGTTGCGCTATATTCCATACAGAGAAACAAACAGTTCGGCTATAATCCAGTACAGTGATGCTGCATTGTTGCCAGTGAATTCATTGATATCGCCATAACTAAACAACTTTGAAACATGAAAATTCACACATACATTGATAGAATACTCTTTAGGCTAACATGATGGTATATGTGAGTAAAAGCCAAAGTGCACCAGTTTGTCGAATATAGGCCCGATGCGCAAGAGGTGAACAAAATTGTGTTTTCATTAAAGAACCACTAAACTTTGTTTTTGTTACTCTTTTAACCATTACATATGAAAGATTTGTGGTTAGTCTTATGCGGAACACCAAATTTATTCTTTAAAAACTTGTGGTTAATTAATACCGGCGCATTAAAAGTCGCCAAAAGTAAGCCTGCTTCCCTCTCGCCCCGCCAACGAAACCACAGACAGGTTACGTAACTCTGTCGCCAGAGCACTGCAGTGACGCCATATGAGGAACGATTTTCAGTTAGTTGTATAGAAAGTGTGTAGCACTTCTCATCATTTTGATGATTTCTCGACATGAACGACGACATGCCGAATCGTTGCTTTGTCGCCAATTGCTCCTAGGGGTCGGGTGATGGTGTCACCATGCACAGATTTCCACAGGACCCCGCAGTTCGTGGCTAAATGGGTTATGTTTGTGAGTGCGGCTTGAAGCGCCAGGGAAGCCTGAAACCATATCTTACTTGTGTTCAGATCGGCTTCACGGAAGTTAAAGAATCAAAACTACTTACTAGTTATAGTAAAATATGTATATGATTGATGACCATAAAGATTTTCCATAACACAACTTGTAACATAACGATTTCTTCCTCGGAAGTGAGGTTGTGGTCGCGAAGTAACAATAATATTGTAAGTAGTATTATATTGACACTCACCTCGCAGCTGCCAGGAGAGAAATTGTTATGTTATAAGCTATGTCATGCAAAATCCTATTGGCCATCAATAAAATACATATTTTACTACCAGTAGAAAGTAGTTTTGATTTGTAAATCAGTGAAAACAAACCTAAATAGCATTTATCCACAGACTGGCGGATGTTCCCGACGGGCACCCGCCATTTTGAAAATCGTAAAGTCTGTTAGAATTAATGAGATTATAGTTTGTTTTCATCAGGTTAGAAAATCAAAACTACTTTCTACCAGTAGTTAAATATGTATTGGAATCATAACCAAAAGGATTTTTGCATGACACAACTTATAACATAAGCGATTTCTTCCACGAAGGCGCGAGGTGGGGGTCGAAGTCACAATACTTTCTTGGCGATAAATTTCTTGCTACATTCACATGGTTAATGTCCACTCACCAGTATGTAGATACTAGTCAATGTGCGTCTTTATGTTTGGTCTTATAATCCTAATTTGTTTATTATCATACTTTTATGCATTTTGAAACTAAATAAAAGCTGACGATCTGCTGATACTTATAGTGAATTTATAACAGAACTGTAATATCTAGACATTTTTTACAGTTTGCCAATGTGAATCATAATTCGCACACACACCCTAGTGTATGTTGTCTGTCTCATTACACTTCACGGCGAAAACAATGATTCTGTTGAATGCTACGACAAATGAATAAAAAAAACAAAATGCAAATATTAAAATTAAAACAGATTAAAAGTTATAGTAACAATATCAGGCCATTACCTTGTTTGAGGAATGTATCCATCAATATCCACAAAATGTTCCAAATGATGTGTCTTTTAACAGTTTAATATACGAAAAGTGATAAAACTTTTCAGGTATTGGTGTATAGTCTCATTGGTCACCCAAGATAGCACACCTGGCAACTAATTGCATAATGTCCGCCTTTCATTAAAAACAGTAATTTAGTTAGCCAATAATGGGCAATCAATCAATGTATTGCCGGTTAATCCTTTGAAAGAAGGGCGTTGTTTTTACGCGAGACACCGACCACGACAGAGTGTATTCAGTATAGATTAGTAAATCTACATACATAAACACTACCTTTTGACAATTCCGGCTGTGTAAGATAAAAGTAATTAATCAATCAGCGTGTTATCGGTTAATCCTTTGATCGATGTTTATAATGTTGAATATTTACTCCAGACACAAGAAATGCCAAATGGGAACCTTTGTCGGGTAATCTAAGTGTGTTACCACTAATTATACCTGTTATAAATTCATTAACTGACCATCAAGTGAATGATGACAAATATCATGTGTAGGTTTATACCACCAAACACGGGTTACAACAAGGAGTATTAATTGCTGTATTGCATGTGAAAACTTATGGGCCGACACTGTTTTGAGAATACAAACAGATTTTTACATGACCTGATTAAATATCGAGGTAAAAAAAACACAGAAATGGGATCAATTTGGATCAGTCATTATACAAATAGGGCCTAACGACACCAATCAATTGTGACAGAAGCGTCTATGAAAACAAGTTGTAACTTCGGAAACTAGGCAAAGCAGGAGACAAAATTAAATGACAGTAGATTGTGAGAACATATAGCTTTCATTTTCCACAACAATTGTCCGCGATTTCAGGTTTATACAAGCCTGTAAACAAGATAATTTACCCCTAAAATGTAGGCGAATTCTGCATCGGCCCTCAAAGCTATTCCTCATATGGCGTCACAGAGTCGCTAGCGCCTGATTGGTTGAAATTTCGTTCACGGGTGAGAATTGTGCACTGTTGTCAAAAGGTCGATTTAAGTCAATTAAAGGTCGAAATGAGTAGTTTTAATAGCGGGGTTTCATTTATAACGATGCCAGTTAGTGATTTATGTATTTTACCCCTAGGGTTTATGTGACCTTTAACATACAAATATCTCGCTAATAATTACTGTAACTGTTATATTGAAGTTATCTAATGTTGTAGTGCAGCCCATTTGCATGTAAACTTATACTGTACTTTGTCTTTAAATACACCTTTATGATCGAAAGCATACCTGTTCAGATTACATATCTATGAACCAAAGCACGAAAGTACAGCGCACTATATCCGGTTTGCACTGTATGGGATCATACACTGTGCTTAATTCCTCAAAATGTCACATATGAAACCATTCAAACCCACAAAAGCGTAACGCATTTGTTAGAATATTTGGCACTTTTGGAGCCACTTATAAAGATACTCCCACTTGTAAAATGTTACATTAAACCAACAGAAATAAATGTATGTTTGGCACTTTTAGAGCACATTTTTTTGCTTGGAAATCAAGGGCAGATAATGCAAAGGGAGCTAACTCTGGATGACCTGATATATTGCAGAATCTGAACCATATCGCGATAATCGTATCGTGAGATACTGTACCGGTATACCGGTAATATTACACAGCCCTATTATTTAGCACACTGCATGTGGTCAAGGAATAACCAGGTGATGTAAGGTGTGTCTGTTATGTACATTATCCAGGTGGTCATTGGAGGCGTAACAAGTACCTCATCAATGGAAGCAATGCCAACAATGCTCGGGTCCAGGATCTCTTCAGATCTGTCCAGCTCAATGTCAACAATCCACATTTCCTCATCATGCAGGGGAGGATTACCAAGGTCCTCAACATGAAACCACCGGAGGTTAGTTTGTTTCATAGACTCTAAACTTATCTTCCTCAAGTAAAGTTCACTGATTTATCAATCTTTTTTTTTTTTTAAATAATAATTTGTGATGACTTAAGCATGATATTATTGGTACCTTTTCTTTTTGTTTTTTACTCGATAATATTATGTATTTTTAGATCCTGTCAATGATTGAAGAGGCTGCAGGTACCAGACTTTATGAGACAAAGAAAGAATCTGCTCAGAAGACAATTGAGAAGAAAGATGCCAAGCTTAGAGAAATTGATGCTGCAAGTTCCTTTTCACTCATCTGCAAATTTCACATTTTGAAAAGCTGTTCCCTTTATATATAGATTTAATGTCAAGCTTAACCTTAAGGCAAATACAAACTGACAAGTCATTTTCAAGCGGAGTTTTGTGGATGACCTATTCTTTTGAACAGGGGTCTGGATACCGGGCAAAGAGGCAAATGAGGTCAGAGAAATCACTATCCTCTTCAGATTTTGCTGTTTTTCCGAAACAGAGTTAAATGTGATGTCGATGATATGCTATACATGTTTGCCAGTTCTAGTGGTAATCACGGCTCAAATGAAGGGTTCACAGTAGCTCAGTTGTGTAAAGTGCTAGCAATTCGCTGCACAGAATTATCTCCCTTAGGCATGCAAGAAACCTATCATCGTTTATTTTCCCCCTGGCATGTAATGTGGGGGGATAAAGTCAACGCCTCGCCCGTCTGTCTGTCCGTCCGTAATCAATTTGTTTCCAGAGCACAACTCGAAAACCAGCAGAACTTAAAGTAGTGCCTTTTGCTATTTGCAGATTTTTGTCATTTTTAATTTTTATGGTTTCCATGGAAACAATTCAGACTCGAAAGGGAGGGGTGGTTTTCATTTCCAGAGCACAACTTGGAAACCTTTCAATGTCTTTCTACAAGGCTTGGCACACATATCAAACAGATTTTGAAGTGGTGCCTTTTGCTATTTACAGATGTTTGGTATTTATATTTTCCATGGAAACGACTTAGACTAATAAAAATTCAAGTTGGCCTTTAAGTAACTGTCAGATGATTTGTTCTTTCAAATATGGGAGGCCAGGGGGATTTGTCATCTTCTGGTGATTCTTGTTTAAATTCCAGATTTACCCAGATTCTGTTTCTAGGTTTGTCAGCACTATACCCATACCATGTTCGTGTGGATTTCATTGAAGTGGTACACGAAACCTACATTCCTCATTAAGCTGACACACCTACGTACTTTTGAGTTAGTGGTCCAACACATCTAAAGGACAGCGATTTGTTGTAGGTGTTGAAAGAGGACATAACTCCCACGCTGGCAAAACTGAAAGATGAAAGGTCGTCTTACCTGGAGTACCAGAAGATTGTCAGAGAATTAGAGCATCTCAACAAGCTGTACATTGCATACCAGTTTGTGTGTGCTGAGGTAGGAAAAACATTCTCCGAGCTTACCCTTCATTAAAGTAATAAATAGGATACAACATGCGTACACACAAATATGTCAAATCTTAGCTTGTGTACCATTCGATAGATAAAATGACTGAAGTAAACTGAGAGATTCTATTTCAACACATAAACTTGGCAACTTGTAGTCTTTCTTATTGTTTCTCATATTTCAGATCAAGTATAAATAACAAATACGTAGCCAACATTTGAAGTTTTTCCTTATCCTGACTCATGCTCTTTTTGCTTGTCTTCTTCTTCTTGCGAACATAGTGGAACACTTGTATCTCCCTAATTGAAGCTCCCTTCAATTTAAAATCACTAATTAGTATTCACCACGAGTTACCTCCTTTCCACAAGCGCGGGAACGAGGGCGCCACCTCTACCCATGTGCCTCACTCTCTCCTTCTTCGCCCAGTGAGCTGGACGTGAGAGCGCCTGTGTCTCCCGACACACTATATCCTTTGTTTTATATTTAGTTAGTTACCTCGTATAGACATCTATAGAGGTTTAGCTAGTATCCTTCAACGATTATATATTGATATTTAGTCGTTTTTCTACAGTTTATTCACGGGACGCCGTGTTTGTTTCAGTGGATTACGTTGATGAAAATTCTGTACTATTGCAGATTACGTTTTTTATGCTGCTGCTGATCCACCTTTAATATGATGTACGGCGCCATGTTTATTATATTCACACTGCAGTTGCGGTACTAATTTATCCAATTCTACCTTTTTATTAATATTTACTTTGCGTTTGGCACGCACAGCAGATAGGTCGCGTATGCAGAGTCTAGTATGACTGATACACCGGAACCCCTCGCCAGTCTACTGCTGTTGGCCGACTCCCCTCCCGTGTGGTGTTCCGCTAGAGTGGTGGAGAGGTGTGGGACGTAGTCCGCCATCTCCAAGAAGCATCCTGCTTCCCCAGACATCCCATCGTCGCAGCAGAAGACTAGAGGGTTTTTCTACTACATCTCAACAACCGAGACCGTTCCCATCGAAGTTTTGGGCCTGTATGATGATCAGCCGGTCATCATACCGGTTGTACATCAAAGATTGACCGATGTCGGCACAGATCAGCATGCAGCCTGATGTACCAACGCAGATATGCGATGATCGTCCTGAGGGTCCCATCATTACCAACACTCAACGCAGACGTCGCACACCCAGGGCAGCGTCGACCTCTGAGGGAAAATCAACGAAGTCTACTAGGACTTTCTCAACCGAGATTGTTCCAACCGATGACCTGGACCTCTACGATGATCAGCTGATCATCATCCCCGACGTACGCCACAAGAAACGACCGGTGACAGCTACAACGACATCAGCAGAGATCACCATGCAGCCTGATGCCTCTACACTGATGTCGGACGATTTTCCGGTGGACCCCTCCATTAACACCGCAGATAAAGCACCGACGACCTCGTCGCAGACCATCCCAGAAGACATGATGCGACAAATTATGAACATCATGGAGGACCAATATCTGCGGTAGCAGGGTCCGAGCCTTCGCGAAGGCTCCAACGTAGACAGCACCCCAGAGGCACCCCCCGTCAACGTAGCAGCCAGGACGATGTCACCTTCGCGAAGGAAGTCACGGACCACCTTGACGAAGGACCTAGATGTACAGCCTTCGCGAAGGCCTTCGCGAAGGCGGAAAGGACCTAGATGTACAGCCTTCGCGAAGGCGGAAAGAACCTAGATGTACAGCCTTCGCGAAGGACTTCGCGAAGGCAGGATAGATCATCACCTTATGCGGTTTCATCCCTAGATGTGGACTCGGACCATCAGACATCACGGAAGCCTTCGCGAAGGTCATATCGTCGTTCCCCCCGGACCGGACGCAGAGGAAGCTTCGCGAAGGCATGCGCGAAGGACACCTGAATCCAGATCATCATCATCTAGAAGGACATCGAGGGACTATACAAGAGCTTCGCGAAACTATCAACGTTCCCCTCACAAGTCTCCGAGAAGATCAACCCATAGACAAGTTGATCATCGATATCAAGTATAAGAACTACAATCGTATATTGGTTCTGTTGAATCCATGACGAGACGTATGTTCGCTGGCCTAAATAGATCTAGAACGATCAATTAGACACTTATCACCAGACTTCGTAACACGACTTCTGAATATGATAAGATGATCCATGCGGCCCTACTTAGGCAAGCGCTTCGCCGATCCCACATCCTGTTAAACACAGAGGCTGTTCACGAAGCAAGCGCTCATATATATATTTATATATATATATATATACTAATCGGGCTTTGACTCGACACCTTCGCGATGGTCGCGAAGGCTAAGTGGCTCCAAGTCTACTTCACCCAGAAGATCTAGAAGGGATACTTCGAGAACTTCGCGAAGTCTCCGGCGTTCACCGAGGAAGTCTCCTCCAAGGTTTCCATATACTAGCCACTCGTCATATATAGCTACTCGTCAGTCCGTTCAAGACGTCGCATAAGTTGATTATCAACTGTATGCCAGATGCCGTCTATAAGCCTACGCGAAGATAATTGCTTAGGCTATTTACAACACAGAACGTCGCTGTATTATTAGTCAACGACATTTCATAGATCTTCACAGAAATCAACTATTCCGTATAAATTGCTAATATACAATCCCGGACGACGATACGATTATCTACATGCGTGACCATTACGCATATCTGCAGACAATTCAATATCGAAATTGAACAGCAGCCTTGTTACAGCGAGTATAACTCTTAATCGTCAAAGTTTCTGAGAAGAAATATGTACAACAAGTTCAACGTTAATTCTACAATTATGACGATACATTCATGTATACAGTCTACAAGCTCACAACTTGCAAGTTGTTTATACCCTTATATATAAGGAAGTCGGAATTATATTCAAAACTGAAATTATTTTCACGACAACCAGGAAAATAACCTACCCAGCATAAAATTTACAGAGCGAGATATTTCGCGCCGGAGGTTTCGCGCGGTTACCATTAACCCTCGAAACACGTGGTCACTCGGATAACTTCGGGAAGCTACGGTGAAGACCGACGTTTATGCTAATATCAACGACGACAAGAATTTATTCAAGGTGGGTTTTTTTCCCGCTACACCGGTGACATCACAGCGCGGGTATTTATACAGAATCAAAATGCCTTGTTCTGATTGGACCGCGAGGGACAACGACCTACACAGAGGTCGATCTCTGTTCACAGTTCAAGACTTACGTCACAAGTGACAACTATATATCAGTGAACGAGCAAGCCTCATTACAGTCCAGTTAACCTGAACATTGATTAGACTGCCTTTCTTCAAAGTTAGAGACCTCCCCTGTCAAGTTAAGACGAGGGATCGGCAGTCAGGCGATTTTACATAAAGTTCAACGAGGACAGACACACCTGGTTGTGCACCTACATCGTCAAGGATTTCGCAGCGAATTACCTAGACGAAAGATACAAGTGGATCTAAATCCACAGCGTTTTCAGACTACAGCTGAATTTCATCAAGCGACTAACACAACTAGATGGTTAGTAAACCTACTAAACTTCTGTTTGGAGAATAAAACGGAAATTTCACGCCCAACCTGGGGATATGAATATAGTGCTCCAACACCTCACAAGTGAGGTTTATGAACACGCCTGGATGACATACTTGGACCCCATGATACGATGATTCTATCAAGATGGCCAGCAAGAGCACTGTAAATTTATCTCCACCAAACCAAACAGGAGGAAAAAATGCAACAGATTTTTTCCTCTATCATCAACTTACGCAGAGTGAAGTCTCGTGTACTATATCTCCATTTGGATCAGAACTGTCATACTACGTGCATATGCGGATGGACCTATTCCGACCCTCCATGAGCTTAATACTCATGATATTATAGCGCTAACTTCTAGAATTGTTCTACACAAATGTGATTGAAATAATGGAGGGTTTATTTCTGGAAATCCGATATGGTGGTTGCAAACCATTATCTGAGAGATATCACCACCGAGGACGTCTCAGGTATACACCAATTCGATCCCATGGTCCTCGCACAACAGCTGACAGTTCTCGGAGAAGATAAGTCAATCTAACAGATTTTACTTATCTTATAACAATACTAAATAGCTTCATGCTATATATAATTTACTTAAGTTCCTTTTATCATCACAGTACTATGATTATTACATCATACAATATATAAGTTAACAACTCTACAGAGTTTGTTATTATATATATTTACCTTAAGTTATTCATATCTTAAGAGTAATACTATGGTTACATGATAAATGCATTAGCTAATATACATAGCTTAAGTTAATTAAGCTAACAAACTCTACGGAGTTTTACTATTATATAGGTAACTTAAGCTAATTATACCTTAAGCATAGTACTATACTCATATTATTAAAATATATTGGCCAACAAACTCTAAGGAGTTTTGCTATTATATAGGTAGCTTAAGCTTATTCATATCTTAAGCTTAGTACTATGTTTATATCATATAAGTAGATTAGCTAACAAACTCTAAAGAGTTTTTTGCTATTTGGCTTAAGTATCATCATATTTCTAAGCAATATGGTTATATTATAACATGTATTAGCTAACAAACTCTACAGAGTTTTAGCTATTATATATGTAACTTAAGCTTATTCATATCTTAAGCAGTACTATGTTTATATCATATAGGTATATTAGCTATCAAAACTCTAAAAGAGGGTTTTGCTATTATATATTTCGCTTAAGTTTCATCATATTTTAAGCTTTATGGTTACATTATAACATGTATTAGCTAACAAACTCTACGGAGTTCTTGCTATTATATATGTAGCTTAAGTTTTCCTTCATAAGCTCAATACTAGGTTTATATCATAGCTAACAAACTCTAAAGGGTTGTTTTCGCTTATTATACAATTAGCTTAAGTTTTCATCATATCTTAAGCAGTATGTTTACATTATAAAGGTATTAGCTAACAAAACTCGACGGAGTTTTGTTATTATATATATATAGCTTAAGTTTCATCATAACTTAAGCTCAGTACTATGTTTTTAACATAAAAAGTATATTAGTTAATAAACTCTAAGGAGTTTATTTTGCTATATACATTTAGCTTAAGTCTAATCTTATCTTAAGCTTAGTACTATGGTTACACTATAAACATATTAGCTAATAAACTCTACAGAGTTTTTTGGCTATTATATATGTAGCTTAAGTTAATAATATCTTAAGCACAATACTATACTCATATTGTAAAATATGTTAGCTAACAAACTCTACGGAGTTCTGCTATTATATATGTAGCTTAAGTTCATTATATCTTAAGCACACTACTATACTCATATTGTAAAATATATTAGCTAACAAACTCTACGGAGTTTTGCTATTATATATGTAGCTTAAGTTAATTATATCTTAAGCACACTACTATACTCATATTGTAAAAATATATTAGCTAACAAAACCCTACAGAGTTTTGCTATATATATGTAGCTTAAGTTAATTATATCTTAAGCTCAGTACTATACTAATATTATAATATATATTAGCTAACAAACTCTACAGAGTTTGGCTATTATATATGTAGCTTAAGTTAATTATAGCTTAAGCACAGTACTATACTCATATTATAAAAATATATTAGCTAACAAACTCTACAGAGTTTGGCTATTATATATGTAGCTTAAGTTAATTATAGCTTAAGCACAGTACTATACTCATATTATAAAAATATATTAGCTAACAAACTCTACAGAGTTTTTGCTATTATATATATAGCTAAAGCTTATTCATATCTTAAGCTCAGCATTATATCTATATCATATAAGTATATTAACTAACAAACTCTAAAGAGTTTGCTATTATATAATTAGCTTAAGTTTAATCATATCTTAAGCTTAGGACTATGTTATATCTTAAAGTATTTTAGCTAACAAACTCTAAGGAGTTTATACTAGCATATTAACAAGCTTAAGTCTATTAGTCTTAAGCATTGTATTAATGTTATATATACTTTATCATAATAAGTACATGGTAATAACCTTTTATATGGCAGCTGATAAGTTAGCAGCAGGAATTCATCAGTTCAGTGCCTTTATGAAGTTCCCATAGGGTTATTACAATCATCACAGTTCAAATCACTAATTATTAAAAATCCAAAGTATTAGTATTCCCACCTCCGTTCCGTAGGATGCTACAAGCAAAAAGAGCATGAGTCAGGATAAGGAAAAATATGTAATTTTTGGAGTAAAATTGATATTTTATACTTATCCTGACTCATGAGGTCAGCCCTCCCATCCTCCCCAAATAACACTTTGGATTTCCCTGTAAATTCAAATGTTGGGCTCAGTATATGAGGAGAGAGTGAGGCACATGGGTAGAGGTGGCGCCCTCGTTCCCGCGCTTGTGGAAAGGAGGTAACTCGTGGTGAATACTAATTAGTGATTTTAAATTGAAGGGAGCTTCAATTAGGGAGATACAAGTGTTCCACTATGTTCGCAAGAAGAAGAAGACAAGCAAAAAGAGCATGAGTCAGGATAAGTATAAAATATCAATTTTACTCCAAAAATTACATTTTTAGCTTTTCACATTAAATGATTCTGTTTTTGTTACAAGTTGCGATACAGAGAGCCCAATGATGATCACAGAAATTTTAATTTGTTATGGGGTGTATGGTGTTTTCAACATGAATGTTTGTGCACACTGCTCTACCTTTGGTGGGGACGGTGGGGTAGCCTTGTGGTTAAAATGTTTGCTTGTCACACGAGAGGCCCAGGTTGAATCCCCCGTGGGTGCAATGTGTGAAGCCCATTTCTGATGTCCCCTGCCATGATATTGCTGAATATTGCCAAAAGTAGTGTAAAACCATTCTCACTAACTCACATCTTTTGATCTTGTTGGTAAAGATTATAGTACCATTGAATGTTTAAAACTATGCATTACCGATGAATGAATGGTAGTATGACTGAAGTAATTTAAAGTTTGGGATACATTCACTGAAATGACAACTGGCTTTTGACAATTGGTGCTAATCACTGAGCCTGAAACTGTCTTGACGTTTCATTTTCAGATTGAGAACAAAGTTAAGGAATTGGATAAAGAAATTGCAGAGCTGGAAAAGAAGAGAGATGAGGTTTGTGTGCCATCAGTTCAGGATGAATGAAACTGGTAGTTGCTGCAAAAGCAGCAGAAGCAGTGGTAGTGAAATATTGCTTAGCGTTAGAACCACCACAGGCCCAGATAAGCTGCATTATCCGGTAAAATATGCATAGAATTACGCATTGAAACATAATTGTTGCGAACCAATTACACATTTAAAATGTTAGATATCATGAAAGTTTAAAACAAATGTGTACAGAATATATTTATAAAATCGCTATGCGTAATGAAAAATACATCGATTGCTATCAAGTTGTATTGTTAGTATAGGACAAGTGTTGTACTGTCAGTATAGGATGAGTGATTTTTTATGAAATCATTTCCATTATATTTAAGTTGGTTTTGATTAGGTATGACATAAGGCAGTACATACCTGCTTAGTAAACTTACTCAATGGCATATACTTAGGTGAGAAAAATGACTGAAATATGCACGTATTTGAAAGCAGTGGGTAACGGAAAATGAAATACCCACTCAACATTCATAATACCCACTCCAAAAAAATACAGTGGGTACAGTACCCACATGAGCCAAATCTTATCTGGAGCTCTGAACCACATTCACTTACTGTAATCAAGGACAAACCCTCAGTATACAACAACAGTAAACCATGTTTATAATGAACTGAAAAGGGACCACGTATTTTAGTTCATTATAATCTTAGTTTGTTAGACACATTTTGACTTTCAGACATCTTGGATTAAGTCGTGACATGTCATATGACTTGACAAATAACAACAGTCTGCTCTGTGTCATGTTTATTCATCTCATTTATCACATCAGTAAATAAATGTTTTAAATATTTATTGTGACAGTTTTTTGACATCGCCAGTGTCTAAACCTTTCCATTCATGAGGTGTATCTGTCACTATAACTTACCAATATTGAATGTATTGTCGTATTTATAGACAGGATCTATCCACTTCACAGGCTAAAGCCTAATCACTGAATTCACAACCTACACTGTTTTGTAAATGCTAATTGATAAAATATATAACTGAATGGTCAGGACTAATATATCTGCCACTTTTATTTTATGTTATGGACATAGTTTACTGGTAGTTGATGTAGGTATGTCCTGTGGTGGTGTGAAGTATCAGTGGGTGGGATGCTACTGACAATATGTTTCCCAGACTAACTAAATCTCTGTTGATATCTTAAACATCGGATATGGCAGACCAAGCCAGGTATCTTGAGCGTGTGAACAGAGGTACAGATAAGCTGTGTATCTCTGCGTAAATTACGCAAATATTTATGTGAAAACTCCATTCCTATTAAGTCCATTTGCGCATAAGCACGCATGATTTTTGCAAATACCCAATAAATGTGATCTTATATGTGTACACACACAAAAATGTCAAATGTTAGCTTAGCGTGCACCGGTGGATAGAAAAAATAACTGGGGTATATTGAGAGGTTCTATTTCAGGACAAACTTGGCAACTTGGTAGTCTTTCTCATATTACAGATCAAATATAAATAACAAACACTAACATTTAATTTTATTACATTTTTATGGTTAATAGAAAATGGCACATACTCAATTGACTTTGAGTGAGGTGAGTACAATTTGTTTGGTTACTCAAAGGAAAATTAGGATACCCAACTGAGATGAACACAAGCGAAAGTACATAACTCAATTATCCAAAAGTTATCTGTAGCTCTGTGTGAAGTTAGAGGTGGTGAGGATAATATCACAAGCTATTCCCAGCATGACACAACTACGTGTTCTGACTCCCATGTATGTCTACCTTACATCTTTAGGAGTCTGGTCATGTGATGGAGAAGTTGGAGGGAAAACTAGCTGAGAGGCAAAAAACTGGGACGCCCTGGCTCAGAGCTCTGTCGACAACAAGAAGGAATCAATCAAGGCTGAACAGAAGAAGAAGAAAGAACTCAACAAGAACTCTGAGGATGTAAGTTCCATTCTAATATTGGTACTTCAATGAGCATCATGGTTAGCAACTTTCATGTGTGATCAGAAATGTTTTCATGGAAACAGTATTTTGTAGTAAATAGTTTCTTTGCTTATTTTATCCACTGTAGATTTTCTGGAATAAAGGCCTCTGAAAAATTTACTCTTTACTGGTTTGGATGTGAACCAATTTTTCATAAGCTTTGAATTTAGGTGAAATTGTTTCTTTGCTTATTTTATTACAACTGTCTCTCGTACCTCCTGTTTGTCAGATGATTGTATGTTTATGCTCCTATGGAGTTGGTTGTTGCTTATGCTCATAGTTAGTAGCTAGGCCTAAAAAGAAAAATGTTGTGGTTCCGATTACCCGACCGACCCTTGAATTCTGGTGCCACCATGATTTTTTTTTATAGAGGTATGAATAAAATACGCTTTCAGATACCATTGGGTTTTTTTCCTGGCACCAACGGACATTGGTCATTCTGATAAAGAAAGTCGACATCATGCCCTTTCAAGGCTCGATTTAGTGCTTTGTTACTTGCACTGGTGCAACCCAATATTACAAAGTGCAACCGAGTTATTAGTTTAACTTGCTCCAGGTGCAAGTCAATTTTTGAGTGGGTAAACTTTAGAATAAAACATCTAAATAGTTCAATAGCATATTTCTGATATTACATATTGCAATAAAAACAGTGCAACTGGAATTTGACTGGTGCAACTAGGATGCACCTAGTGCAAGTGGGTCAACATCTCTTAAATCGAGCCCTGCCTTTACTTTACTTCTAAAAAAATGTAAAAAAAAAAATTAAAAAAAGAATTCCTACCTACCGACCCTAAATTTTAAAGAGGTGTAATCGGAACCACATTTTTTTTTTTTGGTTTGGCCTACACAAGGTATGTGGTCTAGAGTACCAGTTAGTTTGATTGCTGACTTTATGTGGTGTTTATTAGGTGCCTCACTCTGAGAGTGGGACTCGGCCCCAAAAGTTCTAGAATCTGTACTTGACTCGGGAAGTGTAATCCTATAGAAAACATGTGTTGCAAGAGTCCCAGTTGTTTTAGGAGCGTCGATTTGCTGTGCAGGTGGTGCTTCTGTTTGTCCTGAATATTTTTCAAGGTTTGACATCACCATTACCATGTTAATGGGTTTCACTGGTGGTAAAGGTTTATGATCTATGTCTGTCCTCCCACATCAAGTTGACATGCTGTGATATAGAACAGCAATACTGTTCAAAGGGGTATCAATTCCTACTCATTTCGTAGGAGGGGTAGCCTAGGGTCAAAGCATTCGCTGGTATGCCGAAGATCCGGGTTCGATTCCCCACGTGGGTACAATGTGTGAAGCCCATATCTGGTGTCCCCCTCTGTGATATTGCTGGAATATTGCTAAAAGCGGCATAAAAACACTCACTCACTCACTCCCACTCATTCAGATTTCTGTAACTGCTTACATAGGGTAAACATAGTGTATACTTTCCTTCATTAGAACAAGAAGGCATTGGCAGCCCGAGACAAGGACCTGGACAAACTGAACAAAGACCTGGACAAGTTGAAGGAGCAGAGTGAGACGGATCAGGAAGCTCATGTAGCTGCCCAGAAACACTTCCACGCTGTCAGCGCTGGTCTCTCCAGCAACACGGACGGAGAGGATGCCACTCTGAATGACCAACTCATGAGTAAGGCTTGATTTACTGTCTCAGGTGTATACTTTTCTGTCTTCGTGTAGACTATAGAAATACATGGACATTTTGGTATATGTCATTAATGTGTAATTATTGTATGATATTTTTTGACAGCTGCAAAGAGTGAAATTAGTACAGCCGAAACAGAGACTAAACAAGCCCAGATGAAGTAAGTGTAACAGCCACTATATCTAGTTCTTGATTTGAATGAGTAGATGATGTTGTACCCCATTCAACAATACACAGTTGTTTTCGAGTTGGTCAGGATAATAACCATTATCCAGCCTCATGTAAGAATGTCGAGTTTTGATTGGTTCACATGACTGATAAATACCATGTACACCCGGCCACGATCCGGCGAGCAGGGAGTACAAAAGTCGTATCATCCCCGCCATCGTCTCGTTGACCCACTTGAAATGAGAAAAGCGTGCATCGCCAAGCCTTTAGTAGCGTTAAGCTGCATTGAGGTCAATTGATCAGCTGGTTTCAACATAGCAGCAAGGAAGCGTTTTGCCACAACTGAGAATGAAATTGATGCGTATTGTTTTCTTTGGATTTAGTAAAACATTTGGCTAGATTAATCGCGTTATCACATATCGTGTCTCAGGAATCACTGCGGTTTTATCAGTCCCTCGTAAGGTTGTATTCCCCTTGCCTCCGGCTCGGGGAATACAACCTTACTTGGGACTGATAAAACCCAGTACCGGCCTCGACACAGCGTGATAACTTATATGGATTACATTGTCAACACTCAAAGCAGCTGTGGTGGTTGTAATTATGCGGGCCCATTTTAGTCTGCAAGGACAATGAGTAGTTGGGATATAAGCACATGGTAGTTGTAAGTTTTATACTGGAGTATTACAGATTGAATACATGAATGCATGACAACCAGAAAATTGAGATCACTGCAGTTGGTTGTACATACATCCTTTGAAGGGTCACTGGGCATAAGTGACAGTGAGTTGCATCCCTTAGATGTTCCAGAAACCTATGATCTCGGGTTCAAATCCAAGTTTACTTTGATTGTTTCTGGTTGTATCAGCACCTTAACTGAGCTTTTGGGTTTGACAAAGTTGTAAACATAAGTCCTGCATCACCATCCCCCAACATTGGCTTCTGTGCCATGCTGTAACTGACGTACTGTTCAAAAGAGTGTTGAATCTAATGTACTCAACCACTATAGCCTATGATGTGGCATGATACTTCCAGGCTGAAGCACGCTCAGCAGGAGGTGAAGAAGAAGCAGGGAGAGCTGAAGAAGACGGAGCAGGGGTACAAGAAGGACCAGGCAGCCTACGAGGCCGTGCAGCAGAGCATGAAAAAGATACAGGTACGTTTTCGTGTTTCGAATTACAAAGGGAAATGGAAACATCTGGCCAAAATCCAGAGGGTGAACTTTTGGAGGGGGTCTGTGTTCAAACACTGTAGGGAAAGGCTAGGTGCAGTTTGTTCCCAGGACCCTGATAATGGTATACCTTACTTTGACATTGATTAGCTTAGAAAAGATAGACATTTGAATTCAGAAATGATATTTTCCTTCCAACAAGTTCTGTGATAGAGTTAATGTGATTCTTATTTGGAAAGTGGAAAGTGTGATAATGAAAACAAAAATCTCTTTAATAGTCATAGGTCATGGTTTCATTGCTCATGTGCGTACAATACCCATTCCTGGTATTCCACATTGCCTGGCTATGCAGGACAAAAAGCTAAACAGGTGCATTCATGTCGCACTGAAATCTTTTGGTTCCATGTTGATGGTTGATGTCAGCTGTTGTTGAGCTTAGTCCTCAATAGGTTACTGCTGTCTTTAGGCAGAGATGAAGAAGCTGGGATTTGAGGAGGGTCGGGATGAGAAACTGTTGGGAGAGAGGAGAACTCTCAGTCAGGATGTACAGAGACTGCAGGACAAGATGGAGACGCTGGAAGCCAGGTAAAGACTGGATTAGCATAACTGAACAAGCATGGTTGAATTTAGCATGGTTGAATCTTGTTAGTAGGCTGGAAGAAGTAACTGAAGTTTGATTAAAATATATAGTTATAGAATATTTTGGAGAGTTTTTAGGTAAAAATGAATGAATGTTTAGATTTGTTAAGGAACAAGTGAAGCAGCTAAATTTTCAGTCTCATTTCAGTGTCAAACATTGATGTAAGCATTTAGCAGTTATTTTAAGATACAATGATGAGACTGAATAATGGACTTGATTTAATAAGGTAAACTGATGACCCATATCTGCAGACCAGACAGTGCGAGTATAATTAAAGAAATGTTTGGAAGGACACATATGAAATCTATTGAATTGTATCAGCAGAGATTCACTCTCACTAATGGCCATACTATACATCTTCAGCATCATCTTGAGACCCCAATATCTGGCTGAGGTCGAGAACAGTTATTTCAACATGTACCAAGATGATTATCTTTTTATACCCTAATTTAGAGCTGGATCAGTATGAACTAATAAAAAATACTAGTAATTCAAGAATGTCAAACAAAAAACTGTCTGTATGGACTTGTATCATAGTTAGACAGTGGCAACGGAAAAGTTATGAAAACTGATTTATGTTTACGTAGTAGAGACTGTTTAAATGGAATGAAAATTGTCATCTGTGTATTTCTAGATTTCCACAGCTCAACTTCCAGTATACAGACCCCGAGAAGAACTTTAACCGCCAGAAGGTGCACGGCTTGGTGTGCAAACTGGTGAAGGTGAAGGAAGTGCGCACAGCCACAGCCCTGGAGGTTGCTGCTGGGTCAAGGGTGAGTGGTACTGGCTGATACAACTTGGACATGCATTATTTTGCTCTGTCTGTTTTCTTTGGGATTTCACACCATTAAAACCAACATGTTGCTGCTGGGTTTGTGTTTTTCTCAAAAGATTTGGTTTGCCATCCTGAGCTGAGCTCCGGAATCACTGTCAAAGGTTTTCATGTCATCATTTGAATATTTATAAATGGAGGTTAATATGCTTTTATCCCCCAGCATGTAATGCGTATGGATATAGTCGACGCCTTGTCTGTCTGACCGTCCGTCCGTCTGTCTGTAATCAATTTTTATCCAGAGCATAACTCAAAAACTTTACAAAACTTGGTAGATATATCAAACCGACTTTGAAGTGGTGCCTTTTGCTATTTACAGATTATTATTATTATTATTTTTCTTGGATTCCATGGATACATATTCGACTTAGTCTCAAAAGGGCGGGGTGGGCTTCGTTTCCGGAGCACAACTCGAAAACTGTTCAATATCTTTCAACAAAACTTTCTAGATATATCAAACAGATCTTGAAATTGTGCCTTTTGCTATTTGTAGATTTATGTCTTTGTTCTTTTTCTTTGTGTCCATGGAAACGATTTGGACTTAGTCTCAGAAGGGCGGGGTGGGCTTCATTGCCGGGGCACAACTCTAAAACCATTTGATATCTTTCAACAAAACTTGGCATATATATGAGGCAGATCCCAAAGTGGTGCCTTTTACTATTTACAAATTTTTGTCATTTTTATTTTTCTTGGTTTCCATGGAAACGATTCAGACGTAGTCTCAAATGGGAGGGGTGGGTTTCTTTCTGGAGCACAACTTGAAAACCTTTCCATATCTTCCGTTCTTTCCGGTCTTCTATCTTTCCGGTCTCCATCCGTCCGTGCATGCTTCCATGCACATTTGTCTTCCGGAGCATAACTCTAAAACCGTTCAATATTTCTTCACAAAACTAAGCACATAGATAGATCTGGTGGTCTACTTGTGCGTTTTGGTAGTTTTGGTTTTCTGAATAAAATATTTTTTGCGTTTCCATGGCAACAAGTTTGACTTAGCCTGAAATTGGTGGTACTGGTAGTGCTCTTTTCTGGAGCAGAACTCTAAAACCGTTCAATGTTTCTTCACCAAACTTGGCACATAGATAGGTCTGGTGGTCTACTGGTGCCTTTTGGTAGTTTTGGATTTCTGAATACAATAGTTTTTGCATTTCCATGGCAAAAAGTTTCCCAGACTGAAATTATTGGTCGTGCTCTTTTATCCGGAACAGAACTAAAAAAACATTCACTATTTCTTCACCAAATGTGGCACATAGATAGGTCTGGTGGGGTGTTGGCGCCTTTTGGTAGTTTTGATTTCTGAATAAAATAAAAAACATCGTGTTCCAATGGTAACAATTTTGGCTTCAACTGAATTTGATGGTAGTGCTCTTTTCTGGAGCAGAACTTTGAAACCTTTCAGTACTCTCCTTCCACTTTGCTATGTACACGCCAAAACATTTGACATAATCATAACTCAGAGACATATTCATGAAGAGTATTTTGCCATTGCGGGGGATATTGATGACTTTGTCTTCTTCTTGTTGGCATTTATATTTTTCATGATTTCTATGACGACTTAGACTAATAAAAACCAAGTTGGACTTTAAGAAACTGTCAGATGATTTGTCCTTTCAAAGATATGGGGACCAGGGGGATCTGTCATCTTCTGATGACTCTTGTTTGATTGAACAGAGTGTTTCTAGACTTTGATTTCGGACAAGTGGCTAAACATGGAGGCTATCGCTGATGATACTGTTTGATATACTAACCATGTTAACACTACATGCAGACACTACATGCAAACACAGGTGACATCTTCATGGATGATATACCGATTATGCATGTCTAACTGTAATAAGATCTGTAAACATGATAAATAATCATATCTGATAAACATTGTCTAAGCATATCCAGTCTGTGTAGAATGGAGAGTAACCTAAGGAAGATATAATGCATGACATCATATTGTCTTGCAGCTGTACAATGTAGTGGTCGATACAGAGGTCACAGGTAAGAAGCTGCTACAGAAGGGGGAACTACGACGTCGGTACACGATCATCCCTCTCAACAAGATCTCTGCCCGCAGTATCGATAATGCCACAGTCAAGAGAGCACAAGACCTGGTAAAGAAAACATGCTTTTTCCTTTGGGCCAAATAAAAATAATGTTGTGGTTACGATTACACCTCTTTAAAATTTAGGGTAGGTAGGTAGGAAAAATTTTATATATTTTTTTTTTACATATTTTTTTTTTTAGAAGGAAAGTACAAACTAATAACACATGTATCAATGTTTAATTGTTTATTCAATCAAGATTGCGGCCATCATACCGACTTTCTCTATCAGAATGACCGATATCTGTCGGTGCTGGGAAAAAACAATGGTATCTTAAAGCATATTTTATTCAGTCCACTTAACAAAAATAGGGTTGGCACCAGAATTCATGGGTCGGTCAGGTAATCGGAACCACAACATTTACAAAAATAATAATTTAAGGCCTTGTTGAACGTTTCCTATATTTATCCGGAAATTTTGCAGACATTTATTGATTTATTGAAGTTTGCCAAAGATAAATAGTTAAATTCAAAGGTAGCCATGATTCCCCAGTGTTCAGTGTGTGTCATGCTGTGTTTAAGGTTGGTAAAGACAATGTGAACACGGCCCTGTCTCTCATTGGCTATGAGAAGGACCTGGAGGCAGCCATGCAGTATGTGTTTGGCTCAGCCTTTGTGTGTGAGGACATGAACACTGCCAAGAAGGTGACATTTGATGAAAGAGTGATGAAGAAGTCTGTCACACTGGAGGGAGACTCGTTTGACCCTGCTGGTACCCTGACAGGAGGTATGATTCAAGTCAACTCACAGTTCAACTTAGGTTTTGTTTCAGGAAATTGTACTCCTGCTAAAAGGGCTGACCAATGCTGACTGTCATTGCAAATTGCAAATTATTATGATCTTTGCATGGGTTTTGTCATGACTAATGACTAACTAAAACCAGAAACTGTTCCATCTTTTGTCATCAGTATCTGAAAGACACTCAGTGTTGTCAAATATTTCAGTCAAATATTTTCAGCAGTTCTGCTCTTTGGGAACTCATTTTGAAGTCTTGCCCTAATATATGCCACTAAATGAACAGTGCTTGCTTTCGGACTACTTTACAAGGTGCTTAAAGGGTCATTGAAATCTTTTGGTTGTTCTAAAGCGCTCATCATCAATATTTAACTGGTTTGTACGCTAGATTATTCCTGTACCTGTGAATATGCATGACTTGTATGTGGTGTACTATTAGTGGTAATTGTAGTATTACTTAACCTATGATAAACGGGGGCATGGTGGGCTAGCTGTCTAAGGCTCCAGGCTAGTGATCCAGCGAACTTGAGGTGTTGGGATCGATCCCACCTGTAACTGGGTGTTAAAACCTTGGAGTCAAATTTGTGTGCAGACTCTTTCAGTGTTGTCACAACCCCTAGTGTACAGTACACAACCCTATGCAGTATAACCTTGGACAAAGTACTGCGACTGTGTGTCCCAGTCCATCCAGCTGTGAATAGGTACCTCGTAAGGATGGGCAAGCCACAATAACTTGGTGCGCCTAATGGCTGCAAGAGTTGTATGATCCCCGGGGAGTTGAGATTGATAATACGATGTGCGTTGAGATTTGACATCCCATGATTGAGGGGAAAAATACCAGCACCTTGAGCATGTACTAGTTGAGTGGATATGTGCTCTATATTAATATACTACAATAAAATAATCAATTTGGAATTTTGTAATTGCTCACAAAGTCTTCCTTAACAACTTGTGATCCCAGATATGGTTCTTTTCCCATAACTCTGGCTACATTTCATTAGCTTTCTTGATATAACCAGGTGTTGATACTTCTCTGCATACCACTGCAGGTGATGGAGGGCCATAGAGCAACATATAAGGTTAAGAAATATTGACAATGGTATATAGCTTGAGTTTATTCTTCCTCCCAAGGGGCCCGGGCACAGACCAGCTCCATCTTGGAGAAACTGCAGGAGGTGATGGAGGTGGATGAACAGCTGCGCAGCAAGAGAGACCAGCTGCAGAAGGTCGAGAAGGAGCTGGCTGCTATCAAGTCCACCTCTGAGAAGTAAGAACACCGTGGCTTGCTACAGAGTAACGCATTTGTCGTGCATGTGACCTGTGTTATATTACATGACAGGGGTGGAAATAACTTTAAAATTGCTAGTGTACTCCGGTACAGTGGCACATGTGAAATCACTTGCCCTGAATTTTTCTCCACTATACCGGCCGTTTTCTTGTTGAAATTCTTTAAATAAACAACATAATTAACATTGGAAAGTCAACTGGACGGCGGTACAGTGTGATATACGAATTTGCTTGCCCGACAGAAAAAAAACACTGGACTCAGACATCGGGCAATGGGTTATTTCCACCCCTGCATGAATTTACAAGCATTGTGGACTATGGCTGGTTGATTGCTACTCAAACTTTCAAATGTGAAACGAACATCATTTTTGGTGTATTTTACAAAACAATGAGGGTGTATCATCGTGTTTACTTGAAAGTGACCACTGCTACCATACTAGACATTTGTTTAACAGAAGTAATAACATGACACGAGACCTGATCACTTTGTGTATGAGTAACATCAGTAATGGATTGTTCTCCAATACAGGTTCACCCAACTAAAACAGCAGTATGAGTTGAAGAACCATGAATCAGAGCTTGTGAAGGCTCGGCTAGAACAGAGCACCCATCACCAACAGCTGGAGGAGATCTCCAGTCTCAGTAACTCCATTGGTAAGAAGGCTCTATACTACTGGGGGTGGTGGGGTAGTCTAGTGGTTAAAGCGTTGGCTCGTCACGCCGAAGACCCGGGTTGGAATCCCCACATGGGTACAACGTGTGAAGCCCATTTCTGGTGTCCCCTGCCGTGATGTTGCTGGAATTTTGCTAAAAGCGGCGTAAAGCCAAACTCAGTCAGTCAGTCTATACTACTGACATAACACCATCTCTGTATAACTTGGTAGCACTGGTGGCACAATATGCCGTGTAGAGTTCTTCCCCTTATCACTATCAGGCCATTATCCTATGATCATGGGTTTGCCCCGATAATGTTTCGAGAATGGTCAGTACTACTCCTGTTGTGGAAAACGCCTCCACCCAGTACAACTTGGTTCTTTCCTTCCACATCCAAATGACACTGTTTTATAACTGGAATACTGATGAGAACAATGTTTAAATAAATTCAGTAACTCTTGTTTTAACTGAATTATCTGAACTTTTACAGTCATGGACCTAACTCAGTGAGTTTAATATTGCATTAAAGTTTTCCTTAGCGCATATCATTAAGCTGACTAACACCAAACATGTGGAAATTGAGATTTTGGTGAAACCCAGGGCATGGGTGTTGTACTGGTAGTGTAAGTATCATAACTGAAGTAAATCTGGGATTTGAACTCAGTAACAGGACATCTTTTCAAACTGTATTAGTTAATTGTGCATTTCCAGGGAATGACAAGTTAGACACTGTAGTTGATGATGCGGCACTCCACATCTCCCCCTCAGTTTTAGTTAATCCTGATGCAATGTGCTGTTACAGAGGAGCAGGAGGGAATCCTGAAGAGGGCGGAGGAGATACAGAGCAAGGCTGCCAAGAAGGTGAAGGATCTCCAGGACAAGATCAAGAATGCCAAGGCCATCCGGGAGAAGGAGCTGAAGGAGGCTGAGGACAGCGTCAACAAGCTCAAGAAGAAGATGCAGGAGTCCAGCAAGAAGACCAAGGAGAAGCTAGTGGTAGGTTATAGTCGTAACAACCTCTGTAAAATGGATTCATACTACCCATGAAACTTTACAGTATGATTTCATATGCATTAGCTATTAACCAATCGAAAGTCTTCTATTGTATCTAAAAGGTAACTGACATTGAAGTCAATGTATATTCCTCCATGAATGCTAATACATGATTAAGTCAACTCTAATAAATTATCGTCAGCAGTAAAAACTGATTGCTCATCTATACCCCACATAAAAATATCATTGATACTAACACTCTGTACTACCTGACAAATGGCTGTGTAACCAATACTTCGGAATAATACACACCAACTTTAATTTGTATTAACATTTAAGTGGGTATAAACATCGGAAGCAACGTGCACACTGTTATTTCACATAGGTTAGTGAACCATTATACTTTCATGGAGACAAAATGGATGATGTCACTAAAAACTGGATTGTATGTAGGAGGTGGATAGCATCAAGCTGGAGGCGGAAGAGTTGAGGAAGGAGATTGTCAACTATGACGAACAGCTGAAGTCTGTGGACACCAACACTACTGATCTGGATGAACAGGTGAAACAACTGCAGGAGAAGCTGAAGGAGACAAAGGTAGGAATAGATTCAGACAAACCGAGAAGGCCCCAATTGCATGTTTCGTGTTACTGAGTGGGCACTTAACATGTTTCCTCACCTTTCTTTAACTGCACCTGTTATGATTGGTATTTGATGCCACTGATATGAATCGGTTACACTTCACTGTAAAACTGTCATTTGTTACATTTTGAAGTAGGCAAAACTATTTATATTTCAAAGAGAAAAACTACCATATCTATTTTTGGATGAGCTGAAATATCATATATAAGTCAATTAAATGAACATGATGAAATTTTGTTGTAATTGTATGAATTTAGTGTTAGTTCGCAGAATTTGGAATTTTTTACCTTTGTTGGCATTAACTGTTAATTACATATCCAAGTGAGCTACAGTGTCAGCTTTTTTTCTGTTTTTGCCTAAATGTTTGTATTTCAAGATCAATTTTGTCAAAAGGTTGGAAAAAGTACTTAAATTCTAGGCATTGACTACTGTCAGCATGCTTCCTTTTTTTTATTTGTAGACAGATATTTTAGACATCTTGTTTGTATTTCCTTATGGTGAATAATTCAGAGGATTGTAGTCATTTCCTGAATGACTCACACGAGTAAAGCTATTTTAAATGTCCTGTCTTCAACTTTCCATAATGTCCTTGGTATAGATATTAACATACATACTGTACAAATATTGACCTACAGGGTACCTGTAGCCAGTCAAAATGCTCTGATACCCTGGACCAATGTATGCACAGACCACAGATAAGCCGTGTTACAGTTAATTTTCGTTTTGCATGCTCTCTGTTGTTTGACACTAGTGAGACATTCAAATATGGTGCATATCACATTGCACACTGTATTAGATGAAACTGGGTATAACAAGCATAAGGACGTTGTGAAACCACATGTTTTCCCTGTGTGTGTAGTGTGTTGACATGCTAGAGGGCCTGTGTTCTGACTCCCCTGTGTGTGTAGTGTGTTGACATGCTAGAGGTCCTGTGTTCTGACCCCCTGACTCCCCTGTGTGTGTAGTGTGTTGACATGCTAGAGGGCCTGTGTTGACTCCCCTGTGTGTGTAGTGTGTTGACATGCTAGAGGACCTGTGTTCTGACCCCCTGACTCCCCTGTGTGTGTAGTGTGTTGACATGCTAGAGGGCCTGTGTTGTGACTCCCCTGTGTGTAGTGTGTTGACATGCTAGAGGCCTGTGTTCTGACCCCCTGACTCCCCTGTGTGTAGTGTGTTGACATGCTAGAGGGCCTGTGTTGTGACTCCCCTGTGTGTAGTGTGTTGACATGCTAGAGGACCTGTGTTCTGACTCCCCTGTGTGTAGTGTGTTGACATGCTAGAGGGCCTGTGTTCTGACCCCCTGACTCCCCTGTGTGTGTAGTGTGTTGACATGCTAGAGGGCCTGTGTTGTGACTTCCCTGTGTGTAGTGTGTTGACATGCTAGAGGCCTGTGTTCTGACCCCCTGACTCCCCTGTGTGTAGTGTGTTGACATGCTAGAGGGCCTGTGTTGTGACTCCCCTGTGTGTGTAGTGTGTTGACATACTAGAGGACCTGTGTTCTGACTCCCTGTGTGTGTAGTGTGTTGACATGCTAGAGGGCCTGTGTTCTGACCCCCTGACTCCCCTGTGTGTGTAGTGTGTTGACATGCTAGAGGGCCTGTGTTCTGACTCCCCTGTGTGTGTAGTGTGTTGACATGCTAGAGGTCCTGTGTTCTGACTCCCCTGTGTGTGTAGTGTGTTGACATGCTAGAGGGCCTGTGTTCTGACTCCCCTGTGTGTGTAGTGTGTTGACATGCTAGAGGGCCTGTGTTCTGACTCCCCTGTGTTTGTAGTGTGTTGACATTCTAGAGGTCCTGTGTTCTGACCCCCTGACTCCCCTGTGTGTGTAGTGTGTTGACATGCTAGAGGTCCTGTGTTGTGACCCCTGACTCCCCTGTGTGTGTAGTGTGTTGACATGCTAGAGGTCCTGTGTTCGACCCCCTGACTCCCCTGTGTGTGTAGTGTGTTGACATGCTAGAGGTCCTGTGTTGTGACCCCTGACTCCCCTGTGTGTGTAGTGTGTTGACATGCTAGAGGTCCTGTGTTCGACCCCCTGACTCCCCTGTGTGTGTAGTGTGTTGACATGCTAAAGGGCCTGTGTTGTGACCCCCTGACTCCCCTGTGTATGCAGGCTGCGGTGAAGGAGGCCCAGGATGAGGTGAGCCAGCAGAAGGAGCTGCTCAAGTCCTGCAACAAGGGCATCAACAGCAAGGTGGCTGCTCAGAGGGAGCTGCAGAAGGAGAACAACAGTGCCCAGCTCAAGATCCAGGAAATGGAACACAAGATTACTAAACACCATAAAGACTCCAGAGATGCTGTGAAGCAGGCAAGTTCTTCTCACTCACAACCATTATTCTTATCCACATGTCAGTGATTTAATAGAAGCTCCCGCCAGGATGTCTGATGTCAGATTCTTCTTACCAATTTTAGTTTGGTTGTTTCTATAGGTATACAACGTAGTCTAGAAAATATTTCTAACAGTTTCATTGTTCTCAGTCCAAAATGTTGTGCTTAGAGTGTTTGTATGTTATGACATTTTTGTACTGATCCTGTATGCATTGTATTGTCCTCACATGGGCCCAATGTGTGAAGCCCATTTCTGGTGTCCCCCGCCGTGATGTTGCTGGAATATTGCTAAAAGCGGCGTAAAACCAAACTCAGTCAGTCAGTATGCATTGTATTGAAGCAGATGAAATTTCTGTGGCTTCTCTAAGGGACTGACGCCCACTTTGTTTTAGGTTGAAGCTATGATAATGAAGTATGACTGGATAGCTGATGAAAAGAAGTACTTTGGTCAGCCAAACACAGCCTATGACTTTGAGACGAACAATCCCAAAGAAGCAGAACGCAGGATCCAGAAACTGCAGGAGACCAAGGACAAACTCTCCAAGAACGTTAACATGCGTGCCATGAATATGTTGGGCAAGGCAGAGGAACAGGTTTGTTTGATGCCAATGTTTTGCTGCTATTTGTATATTTGGAGTTGTTCTTGGACGAATTGTTTGTTAATTATTAGAATATTACTGAAATAGATAAATAGGGACTCATTATAATCAAATTAATTGCAAATGCAATTCTGTGTATAAAAACAGGTACTACAGTATCCTATACTTGTCTCCTCATGGGGATTCCTGCAAGAGTAGGGGCCGGGCGATGGGGTAGTCTAGTGGTTAAGGGTTCCGCTCGTCACGCCATAGACCCGGGTTCAATCCCCCACATGGGTACAATGTGTGAAGCCCATTTCTGGTGTCCCCTGCCGTGATGTTGCTGGAAAATTGCTAAAAGTGGCGTAAAATCCAACTCACTCACTCCTGCAAGAATACCCTTTACAATCAACCTTTGCTGTAGTAGAGGGCAACAAAATGGATGGGTTGGTCAGATTTTGATAAGTTGGTTGATAATATTGATGAATACCAAACAATATCTCTTCTGCTTATGTGACAAAATCAATTCTTAATGAGTTACATGTAACTTTCTCCTTGCAGTACAATGACCTAATGAAGAAGAGGAAGATTGTCCTTAACGACAAAGCCAAAATTGCAGCAGTCATCAATGAATTGGATGAAAAGAAAAATGAAGCTTTGAAGAAAGCATGGGAGCAGGTCAACAAGGTCAGTCTGTAACCTGTATTGTGCCCTCGAGGATGATGTGGCCTAAGTTGGCTACGAGTGTAAACTGGAGCTGTGTCAGATGTTAGAAATATCCTCAGAAACTTTACATGCCAGGATTTGTTTCTTTTTCTAAAGCCCTCTGAAAGAACAATTTGTTGTAGTAAAATAACATTTATTGTCAGTTTTGGTGCTGTTCCAATGATTGGCCAAGATTTTTAATAGAATTTGTAATCTGGGCAGTACATGATGTGGCAGAAGTCAGAAGTATGGATGGTTCCATGCTTGTGATCCCAACCCCATTGTCAGACACATTCTTGAATGATTAAATTGTGTGTAAGTGTTAAACTGAACCACTCACGCAGTACTTGTCATGTTTCAAAGTGTTTGTATCTCATCTGATTTCTGACAGTATATTATGAGACATTCTTATGGAGAGGTGTTTGTTTCAGGACTTTGGCTCCATCTTTTCAACCCTTCTTCCTGGAACACAGGCCAAACTCTCACCCCCAGAAGGGCAGACTGTCCTTGATGGTCTGGAGGTCAAGGTTGCATTTGGTGATGTGTGGAAAGAGTCATTAGGTGAACTTAGTGGAGGTCAAAGGTGAGACTTTCTTGATTATTTTGCATAAGTGTGATTGCCTTTTCTTTTGCCTTAACAGAAACATCTCAATCTTTCCTGGACTGAAGAAAGTCCAGGAAAGATTTCCTGTCATTGATAGGGTTGACATGGCAGTAATATTTATCCAAGTGGCACTAAACTTACTAACTCGTCTCTTCCAGGTCATTGGTAGCCCTGTCCCTCATCTTGTCAATGCTGCTGTTTAAACCTGCACCTATCTACATTCTTGATGAAGTTGATGCAGCTCTTGATCTGTCACATACTCAGAACATCGGCCAGATGATCAAGTCTCACTTCAAACACTCTCAGGTGACACTTCTTGTTAGAAATCAGTGAAATAAAGGGGTTTCATATATTGCTTTTGTGGGGAGGGGTGGGGTAGCCATGTATTTAAAGCATTTGCCAAAGACTCAGGCTCAACTCTTCACATGGGTATGAAATACACAATGCCATTTTAGAAAGTGGTCAAATGTAACGTATGTTATATTTGGGATTACACTTTCTTAGTAAAGTACAGATTCTAGTACTTTTTGGGTTGAGTCCCATCCGTGATTCGAAACCCACACCATCAGAGTCAGGCACCTAATTGCCAGCACACCAAGTCAGACGCGTAGACCGCTCAGCCACTGCCTGACTCTGAGGGTCCCGGATGGGACTCAAAAAATTACTAGAATCTGTACTTTACTAAGAAAATTGTACATGGGTACAATGTGTTTAAACACCAACATATTTTGAGGTCATTTCTTTTAAATATATACGTAACTGATCATTGATAACATTGCTAAGGGACTGTTCATAACTTATGGCTTGGGGGTGGGGTGTTTGATGAGTTTTATGGTAAGCACTACAGTGTGAATATCAATCAATCTCTCGCTCTCACTCACTCACTCTCACATACACACACACACACACACGTTTATGTACAAGGAAGTGACACCCCCACCCAAATCATTTACCACCCTCCCCAAAATACAACCCTTTTTCTCTTTTCTCCTCTCTTTTCTTTCTCTCTCCTACCCTCTCTCCCTCTCTCTTTCCTCCTTTCAAAAAAACCAACACACAAACACACACACACACCATTAGGAAAGGATTATGCATACACCTTAAATCGTAGTGGTTAAAGTTAAAGATTTGCATCACATCAGCTACACTCCCATGGGAAGCTGACAGGTGGCAATGTAGCTGGAATACTGTCCAAAGAGGTCAACCCGACACACTATTTCATACATATTTCTTTTCAGTTCATTGTCGTCTCCCTCAAGGACGGCATGTTCAACAATGCTAATGTACTGTACAAGACAAAGTTTGTTGATGGAGTTTCCACAGTGACCCCGACATGTACAGCATACCTCATCGCGATCCACCACATCGGGCAGCACTGACAAGGAAAACGAGAAAACAGGAGGCAAGAAAAGGGCTACATCAAAGCGTACAAGGATAGAAGATACTCCAGGCTTTTAGAAACACATTTCATGGGGAAAGATAACTTGTTGTTTATGTACAAGTGCTAATTGTATAGAACAGTTACCATTAATCTGACAATGTGGATGTTTCTGGTAACATGTTACCATTATGTTGAAAACTGAAACATTTTATTGCACTTGAAAATGTCTTGCTATAGATACTTTTATATTGGATGAAGTAAATGAATTTTTGCACCATCAAATAGTTAAGGCTGGCTTCATGTAATTTAATTTTTTTCTCATTTGACTTTAATCATGCAACAATGATATCATATGAAAACAAGTCATATTTGACTGTTTTCTTATCAGATTTTTACTCAGATCCATTTTCTTAGATTGATTTTGAAGTGTAAATACCAAAACATTTAAAATAACACATATGACTTTTTATTTATGTAGTTGAACAGTTTAAAACTTATTATGCCACAGATTGGGAGGTGTTAAATGAAGTGACGGTCTCAATTTGTCTGTTGCTGCATTGACTGGAACATCAAGAAATTTAGGAAATTCAGTCAGTACATGTTTGCTTTTAAAAGAGTTTTAAAGGGGTTGTACCTGCAGGGGTAACTGGAGAAGTATGAAGAGTGAGATCTCCGTCACAGTGCATCTGTCATACTGGAGTAACGTTGGTTAGCTGCAGTCATAGATCTGACAGTATTTTGTCTATTTGTGTTCCCTGTGAAGCATGTCATCAGTCATACCACTTGTATATAGAATCTTATCTGTGACCTCTTTCTCGAGTTCTGCCTGATCTGTGTCTATCACTTACATCACTCCTATATATATCGTCACTCAAGTCCTTGTATTTTACACTGATTCAGCTTGGATGCTGTGCATGTAATCAAGACAATTCATCATCAAGATATCCATTTCATGTAACTTATAGATCTGTTTGAGTCATTACATCAAGTATTTGTGGAGTCAATGTTATCTGTATAGGGATTTTGTCAAAACAAAAATGAAACATACATTCAGTGTAGGAAATAAATAATGAAATGGTACCTATTATGGACTTCTGTTTATTTATTTGTAGCTGTTAGCAGTCCTTATGTCAGACATGAAAAATCCTGTGTTTGGTTGATTTGCGAGATAATTCAAAACTGACATCAAATTGACTAGAACATCCACACATCCTTGAGTAACAGGGCTGTTCAGCTGACTTGTAACACAGTAAGATGATCACTGGTTATAGTCTGTATTTCTCATCATGGGGATATACCAAGGAGGTTAAAGGCTCATGGGGCACGGGTGGCCCATAGTCTCAGACTGACAGTTGTGTTACAATATCATAGTCCAACATGAAGCTGATATGCTCTAATACGAGTTTAATATTAATCAAGTGGCTTTAAACAAATATAATTATCCACATTTGGAAGCATATCAGAATAAAAGGAAGAAATGAAACAGTCTCATAGGCTCAACATTCTTTGTCATCCACCAATACAAGTCGGTATTAAGCATCACCATGGTCCCAAATCCCGTTCCCCACAATTACTTTTTCAAGCAGTATTCCCCGTGGGAAATAAAAGTTCCCCATTAAACCCTTATGGAAACAGTTTGAATCATATGTATTTCATAGTGATTCATTAACACATGATGCTTTAACAATAGTCTGTAAATAATCAAGTCTCCCTCAGACAATCCAGTGATCAACAGCATAAGTATCAGCAACTGGAATACCATGACATGACTTGGCAAAGTCCGTGAGACTGACCACCCGATCCGTCAGTCGCTTTTTATGACAGTATGGGTTGCTGAAGACCAATTCTAACCCGTACCGTCACGGGGGTCATGACTAGGGGTGAAATGGTATACCGTAGTATTAGTAGAACCGCGGTATTTTACCTTTGGTTCGGTATACCGTAATGCAATCCAAAAAAGTTGGTGTTTTCGTACCGTTATTATATTAACCATTTTAAACCTGTAACATATGTTATATTTGGGATTACACTTTCTTAGTAATGTACAGATTCTAGTACTTTTGCTGGGTTCATTCCCATCCGGGATTCAAACCCACACCCTCAGAGTCAGGCACCTAATGGCCAGCACACAGTCAGCCACCTAACCCATATATCAGAACAATGAACATTTAACGACCAATAAAAAGAGAAACAGCATTCCCAAGCTAAAACATATTTGTTTCAAAAGGAGAATTACATTTCTGTGTGAACTTTGAAAGATACTTTGAATGAATCTGAAAACTGAATAAAACAAAATTCTGGAATGTTCCAAGATTGTGTAGCAGTTCTTCCCAAGGACTGTGGAAAGTCTAAATGTTTAACCAACTGAAACGAGAGATTTAGAACAATGACAATGCTCAGTCACACAGACTGTAACTGTCTTATGACAACTGTGTTGTGTTAATTTGTTTAATTTATATATACACCTGGAACTTAATTAAGCACCCCCTGATATATTTCATGATAGTAGAGCAACTGTTAACCATCCTTAAACATGACTGATATCTCTGTATTACAACACATCTTTGTAGTCTAAAAAGGTGTTTCAGTTCCTGTGCACTCGTCACAACGCATCCCTTGTGCATGTGAAGCATACAACCCACACTTTTCCCAAAATTCAGTTTCTCTGACATGCAATATATGGGTATAAAAGCAGACAAATTTGTAACTGTCTCCATTAATGAATACTGAAATGGCGAGGAGAAGACTTTCTGAAGCACTAAGGTGGCAAATTGTCGGCATGTCCTTCAAAGCTATTGGACGACAACTGGGCTACAGTCACTCGGTCATCAGCCGACTTGTCCGAAAACATCAGATGACAGGAGATGTGAGAGATCGTCCAAGGCCTGGACAACCCAGGAAGACAACGGCCCGTGATGATCACAGCCTGGCACGTCTGGTAAGGCGAGAACCCTTTGCCACAAGTTCGGTTTTGAAGCGCCTGTGGTTACCCTACAGACAATTATCCACCAGAACCGTCAGAAATCGCATTAGGGCACTTGGTATGAGGTCCAGAAGAATCATCAAACGTCCTGCTCTGTCTGATCTCCATAAGAGACGACGTCTGGAGTGGTGTATGGCCCGTCGGCAGTGGAAACTGAGGACATGGAGGAGGGTCCATTGGTCAGATGAGAGCAGGTTCCTCCTCCACGTTACAGATGGTCGAATGAGAGTGTGGAGGCATAAAACCACTGCTTACGAATATCCACCCTACTGTTCCTTATGTTGGAGGATCGGTTATGATCTGGGGTTGTCTTTCACACGACTGTAAACTTCAAATGGTGACTGTCCCGAAGAAATCTCAATGGATTAGCAGTACATCCGGGATATTCTCCCTCCAGTTGTCGTGCCTCACCTTGACAACCACCCGTTGGCTGCTCACCCGATATTCATGGACGACAACGCCAGGCCGCATCGTTCACGTGCTGTGACTGCACATCTCCAGAATGAGGCTATCATGACATTACCTTGGCCAGCAATGAGCCCCGATTTGAATCCTTTGGAGCACATCTGGGACTTTCTCGGACGCCGTGTGAGGTTGAGAGAACCCCCCTCTCCAGAATCTTGCACAGCTGGAAGCTGCTTTGCATGAAGAATGGCGGCAATTGCCACTTGATCGTATCAGAAGGTTTACCAGTAGCATGAGGAAGAGGATTCAAGCTGTCATCCAAGCACGTGGGGGATACACCCGATACTGATGCCAGACCCATCAGATGTTAACATGTGACATTCCTTGTGCATCATTTCTTGTAATAGTCAGCCATTGACAATGCTACGACCATACTTTTTAGTGACTATTTTCATCAAAAATCAATAGTGACCAAATCCATTGGTTACGCTATTAAAACAACACGAATTGGAATCATTGTCTTGTTGTTCATTTGCCAATAGATCGTATGTTTCACAATAGCTAAGGTTCCACTATCTTTGGAATAGTGAGAGAGTTACAGCAAGTTTTGTTTCTCATCATCCAGAAAATAGGGGATGGGGGGTGGTGGTGGTGGTGTGTTTGCTTAATTAAGTTCCAGGTGTATTATCTGTGAAATGTCATCAACAGAGACACATTCGACAAGATCTGATTTGTGTATTGTTTTGTTTTTTAAAAGCATTATGATCATTATTATCTCTTATACCGAACTGAAACGGACCGAACCGAAGGCCTTGTACCGCTATACGTACCGTACCGTGGTAAGAGCGTACGCTTTCACCCCTAGTCATGACTGATGCCCCATTTGGTCTCTACAGTAAACATTCTTGACTTGACGCCTCTGAGTCACGTAACTGTTCATAGGCATGAGCAATGTCATAATGTGCCTGAGCCTGGTCGCACAGCTCGCCCTTTATAAGACGTTTCGAGTTTTTAACAATTGTATAGCCGTCGATAGCTGTTGACACAACATTGAAGACAAATCCACCGTAGAACAACACTTTCCCGAACGTTGACAACCCTTTAACAACTGATTTGGATGCCTTTGCTGCTGTAGTACCAACATCTCCAAGAACCGGAAGAACTTCATCAATCTGTGCCACTTCAAATGCCTGTAGTCCAACTTTAACTGGCCCTTTTATCATTCCTGAGACACCCGAAGTGACGATTCCAAAATACTCAGCCTCCGAAAGTATGTGTAAAAGTCTTTCGTTTTCTTGGTTGAACTTATCGGTCCTGGCTTTTATCTGTTTCCACATTTCTTTTTTGGCTGTCATCCTTTTTCGATGAATGGCTAAAGAAACACATCCGGAGACGATACCCAAAGCAGCACCCGTCAGCGAGATGATCAAGCTTGTTCCAAAGGTGGCAAAGGCCAATCCAAACCCAACGAAGCCTAGTGTGTTGGATATCATCCCGAGAGTTGATGCGGCAATATCGGCTTTGTCAGCTTTAGTGTAGATTTGCTCCACCTCAACGCCGTATGTATAGTGAAGCTGGATTAGCTGATTGAGAAACTCATCCCTGGATCCCCGCGAAGACGTAAATGATGCCTTAAATTGTCTCCGTATCCACTCAAGTTCATCTGGAAGCAAACAGATTACAGACATTGACAGTAATGCAGTGGCATAACTAAGGTATCGCATGTAGGCCACTTGAAGGGGGACGCCACGGAGCACTTTCCAGTAAAGTCAGAAAGGCTATCCCCTGATAGAGAATTTCCTTCAGATGTACGTATGATTCAGATGTCTTTGATTATCATGGGCGAGAAGCACCAGATGGCTGGATTGATACATCATTAATATACATTATATTAGTTAAAAATAGAGTGCTTGCCATAGGCGATCTACGTATCTATACGCCTGTGCAGTAATATACAGCTGGATCTCAGTGCTTTTAGATTACCATTGCAACAACTCCATTCGACACTTTGGGATTTTACTCCTAACATCAACACGCTCACTGACGCGTTTCATCATTTTCAGTCATCACGCGATAGGCACCGTTGAGTGTCTGTTCAATCAATTCCAGAACATTACCTGGACTCTCAAATGTAATGGTCATCACCATGTTAGTTCCAACCAGGTCACTGCCAGCATCATCTGGGTCAAGGTCATCTGTAGCGTCAGTAACAACTAGGGTTGCTCTCATTTTCTTTCTTTCAACAAAAATACCCTTGAGGTTTACTGAAAACAACAAATAGTACAGCATGTACAGGTCCAGTTTTTAGGCTCAGAACCCCTGTTTCCAGGGGTGGGTGGTGTGTGTGTTTGTTAGCCTAATGGTTAAAGCGTGCGCTCGTGGCGCCGAAGACCCGGGTTCGATTTCCCACAAAGATACAATATGGGAAGCAAATTTCTGTTATGCCCTGCTGTGATATTTCCTTAATGCTGCGAAAAGGCATACTCACTCACCTTCAGCAATAACATCGATCCGTTTTGAACCACTGCGTTCAACTTAATTTCATATTAATAAAACGACTCGGTGCACATCTCATCACATCTTAAGAATACAGTCACCATATATTGAGATGGGGCTGATGCTGAGGTATTTGTTTGAGTGTCTTTTAGAACTATTCATCCTGGTTATACTTTAAAAAAGTGTAACACGTGAAGTTGCAAAATTAACTTACCCCATTTTATACGGAAGAATCTTTGGACTGCTTTACATCCTGAAAGCACGGCCCTTTTTATTCCTGAAACATGGAATAGTATCTACATTGTTGAAATAGACACATACAATCAAGATAGTGCAATTTTAACTTTGGTCGCGAATTATATCCAGTGTGTTCGTTTTCGATCCGCTGATTATGAAGGAAGGCATTATCTAGGTTCTTAGAAATGAGAGAGTTTACGCCGCTTTTAGCAATATTCCAGCAATATCACGGCGGGAGACACCAGAAATGGGCTTCACATATTGTACCCATGTGGGGAATCGAACCCGGGTTTTGGGCGTGACGAGCCAACGCTTTAACCACTAGGCTACCCCACCGCCACTTCTTAGAAATGAGTTATTCCAGCTTTAACCACTAGGCTCACTTCTTAGAAATGAGTGAGTTTAGATTTCGCCGCTTTTAGCAATATTCCAGCTATATCGCGGCGGGGACACACAGAAATGGGCTTCACATATTGTACCCATGTGGGGAATCGAACCGGGGTTTTGGGTGACGAGCCTACGCTTTAACCACTATGCTACCCCAACGCCACTTCTTAGAAATTAATGAGTTTAGTTTTACGCCGCGTTTAGCAATATTCCAGCTATTCACAGCAGGGGACACCAGAAATGGGCTTCACATATTGTACCCATGTGGGGGATCGAACCCGGGTTTTTGGCGTGACGAGCCAACGCTTTAACCACTAGGCTACCCCACCGCCCCTTCTTAGACATGAGGGTAATACTGCTGTACATGTTGAACATGTCAGGGACATTTTTGTCGTACCTAGACTTCGGCTTCCGTTGTTGCCCATGTTGACAGTTAGGTGCAAGCGTTAGGCGAATATACTGCTGGAAACGAAACACAACAATGTCTGAATATATCCCAAGCAAATGATATGAGGAATAAGTATAAGGTGTATTACAAGCATACACCTGGAGTGTTCTTTGTCCAGAAAGGGTCTTTGTTGAAGACCTGTGGGCTTGCACTGGTAACACATGGCAAGGAAACATAACAAGAAGACAGTCACCAATTTCCCCAGCAATGGCAAAATACTCTTCATGAATGTGTCTTCTAGCTATGATTGTGTCAAACGTTTTGGCGTGTATTATACAAAGTGGAAGGAGGGTATTGAAAGGTTTTTTGGTTCTGCTCCAGAAAGGAGCACTACCACAAAATCCAGTCAAAGCCAAACTTGTTGCCATGGAAATTCAAAAAAATATTATTTTTCCTTATCCTGACTCGTGCTTATTTGCTTGTCTTCTTCCTCTTGCGAACCTAGTGGAACACTTGTATCTCCTATTGAAGCTCCTCCCTTCAATAAAACATACGTAAAATCACTACTCACTAGAGTTATCCCTGTTTCCTGTTTTGGCGGGAAAAGTGGCGCCACTATTTTCCCACGCTTCACTCTCTCCTTCTTCGCCCTGTGAGCAGGTTGTGAGAGCGCCTGTGTCTCCTATACGGCACTATATCCTTTTATTACTTAGTTCGTCCCCTCTATTATACATTATAGAGGTTTAGCTAGTATCCTTCAACAATATGGTTTGATATTTAATCGTATTTAGCACTGTTTATTCACGGTTTAGTCCGTGTTTGTTCAGTTGTTTACGTTTTCATGAAAACCTGTTTCAATTGTAGATTTCGTTTCTCTGCTGCTGACCCTCATCAACTGTGCCCTAGCTGCACGGTACCATGTTTTTTCAGCTGGCGCTGCATTAATTGCCAGCATTTAACTAATTGTGCATTTAATAAATACCTTCTTTGCGTCCTTAGACGTGCTGCAGATAGGTCGAGACGGGTTGGTCAGGTCATGGATAAACCAGCTAGTCCCTCACAAGTCAACTGATGTCTGACGACCCCCTTCCGTCTGGTGTTACGCCGGAGTTTCCCTCTGGGGAGGGGCGTGGGACGATGTCCGCCACCTCCAAGAAGAGGCCTGCTACTCCGGACGTCCCTTCGTCGCAGCCTAAGACTAGGAAGTCGTCAGCCACCCAGCGCCGGCTCCGCACCCCCAGGGCGTCGACCACCACAACGGGGAAGTCAGCGCAGACAACACGGACTTTCTCAGCCGAGATTGTCCCGTTGACGGATCAGGGACTCTACGATGACCAACCGATTGTCATCCCAGAGATTCATCACAAGAAGAGACCAGTCTCAGCTACGGTGACTTCAGCGCAGATCTCCACACAACCCGAGGAATCTACGCTGACGACAGATGAGTGATCCGTGGGCCACGTCGCTATCACCGCAGAAAGGGCAGCGCTACTACCACCGCAGACATTCAACCCGGGGGGACTTTATGCAGCAGTTTTCCCAACAGATTATGGAAATGGTGGAGCAGCCCTACGGCCTGGAGAAGAAATCACAGCCAGCCCACAGAGAGAGGTCCCGAGCCTTCGCGAAGGCTCCAACGCAGACGTCGTTTCTGAGGGGCCCTCCATCAATGTGACGTCTGGCAACAGATCTTCGCTTCAGGACCAGCCTGCGCGAAGGTCGACTCAACCATCCCCTGCGGCGGACTCGGACGATCAGCGTCCGGGAAGGACGACTCGCCCATCCCCTGCTAGGGATTCGGACGATCAGCATTCGCGAAGGCACTCGCGAAGGACCAGTCGCCTATCCCCAGATGCGGACTCAGATGATCTGTATTCGCGAAGGCAGTCGCGAAGGGCTTCAGATACAGTATCCAAGACATCTTCCGCATCATGCAGATTGTCGAGGGATTCACCGAGACACCCGCGAACCCACAGTCGCTCATCTCCGTGCAGGTCTCCGCGCAGGTCACCCTACAGACGCTCGCCACGTTGATCTCCACGCAGGTCTCCATGCAGGTCTCCACGAAGGTTTCCGCGCAGGTCTCCAAACAGGTCACCGCAGTCACGAAGGACTCCACCTAGATCACCATCGGAGGAGGATCAACGTCCCTTACTCAGCACTCCTGTCACTGAGGACGACGGCGGGATCATCTTTTCGGACTCCGAGATACGCTACTGGATGGCCAACGGTTTAGACTTGGCATCACCATCTAAGGACGATAATACGGCTTACACCTATCTCATGCAGGATGATGATGTCGACACGATCACTCTCCCTCCGATTGATCCCATCGCAGCGGTCCCACATGACATCGATGAGAACTTCAAAGTCATCAGTGATGCCGAGGCCAAGTCTTACAAAATTGAAGACAAGAAGTTGGCACAAGTCGAAACTATGACCAAGCGGATGTTCTTCGGCCTCAACAGATCAAGGGCAGTCAACGAAACGCTCATCGCTAAATTCCGAGACTCTACTGCTGAAGAAGACAGGATGATATATTCGGCCCTCCTTATGCAGAAGAAGGACCAACAGTTTATGACAGACCATCTCTCATCCATCTCCGCAGCACTGACACTAGCACGTCGACAAGGTCTCCTCGCCTCCTGCAGTTGGAGTGAGCGCTTCACCAAGTCACTCTACACAGCCCCGTGGTCAACTCCTTCCATCTTCGCTGGAGAGATCGACAACGTTGCCAAGGAAGTTACCAAAGACTCTAGGGAGGTCCTTATGATCAAGTCCATAGATACTCTGGCCAGCGTCATCAGGCAGACATCCCAGCGCTACTCGGGCAGGTCCAAGTTTCCCGGGATACAGAGAGCACGGGACAAGAAAATGGGTACCTCCAGAGGCGGAAAAGATTCCTTTCGTCGCCCAGCCGGCAATTACAGAGCAAGGTCCGGACGAGGCAGGGCACCCAGAGGAGCCAAGGATTATCGACGATGAAAGAAGGGTTCGGAACGACTGGAGTCTTCCACCCCAAGCCGTTCCTGTACAACCTTCACAAGTGGGTGGACGTCTTCAGCTGTACTGGGGAATACTTCAAGATCCGTTTGGATCCAGCATCCTAAGAGACGGATATCACATACAACTACAGGCCGCTCCACCGCTTACAGCCGACCCTCACAAGTTCGACTTCAAGACTCATCAGATAGAGAAGTTACGAGAGGCGGTCTCATCTCTACTAGTAAAGCGAGCCATAGAGGTCGTGGATCAAGCCAACATCATGTCAGGTTTCTACTCCCCAGTTTTCCTAGTGCCAAAGAAAAACTCCAAAGAAAAGTTCTGACTCATCTACAATATGAGCACGTTCAACAGAGACCATCTAAGCAGACCTCCCAAGTTCCGCATGATACATCTACCTCAACTGATCCACCTCGTTCGTCCGATTGACTACATGGCCAGCATAGATCTATAGGACGCCTACCTGCATATTCCTGTACATCCAGACTCGAGGAAGTACCTCAGGTTTACACTGGACGGGCTACATTACCAATGGAAGGTCCTGCCATTTGGAATATCATCGGCCCCTTGGTTGTTTACAAGGGTGACGAAACCCATAGTCACATATCTACATCATCGAGGTCTACGCAGTGCCTTCTACCTCGACGACGGGATTCAAGTACATCAAGATCCCAAGCATCTCAGACTACAGTTGAACTTCACCATCAAACTGCTTACACAGCTGGGGTGGTTAGTGAATCTACTCAAGTCGGACCTAGAACCTACACAGGACCTGCAGTTCCTAGGCATCAGATTTCTCATGACGCAGAACCGCATCGTCGTACCAGAGGACCGATGGCTCAAGATTCAACAGACAATCCCACAAGCCCTACTCTCTCCGTGGCCACTACGACAATGGCAGAGTCTGTTGGGTCTCCTCACGTCCGCACAAGACATGACAGCCAGAGGGAGATTACAGCTACGCCCGCTACAGGTCCTCATCAATGCTCGTCTCGACGACCCAGACCCCTTCGGTCTCCCGGACTACCTCAGACCTCATCTACTATGGTGGACCCAGAGATCGAATGTCTGCGAAGGTATCTATTTAGCAGAGCCGGAGTGCAAGACTCATCTGTATGTGGACGCATCACGCCAAGGTTGGGGAGCACACCTCGACAACGATGTGGCGGCCGGGAAATGGACCAAAGAAGAGAAAAGTCTGCACATCAACATGCTGGAAATGAAAGCAGTCGTCAACGCCATACACCACTGGAGCAACATTCTACAGAATGCGCATCGCATGGTGCACACGGACAACTCCACAGTGGCGTTTTACATAAACAAGCAAGGATCAACACGATCATCGAACCTGCTGGACCTCTGCTTTCAACTGTTCGACCTAATCGACGATCTGAACATCCACATAAGAGCATGCCACATTCCAGGAGCCAAGAATGTCATAGCAGACGCCCTCTCCCCGTCCAACTCCACCGTCTCCAACGGAATGGATGCTACATCCCGAGATCTTCACATAGATCATCAAGGAGATGGGAGCCCCTCTAATAGACCTCTTCGCCACACGCTTCAACAATCAGCTGACAACATTCGTCTCGCCAGTACCAGATCCATGAGCGTGGGCAACGGACGCTCTCAGCATATCCTAGGAAGGACTAAACGCGTACGCGTTTCCACCGCCAGCGCTAGTACCGAGGGTGTTGCAGAAAATCAGCCAGACCAAGAACCTCCAACTGATTTTGGTCGCGCCCTACTGGCCAGCGAGAGTGTGGTTCCCCATTCTCATACAAGAACTAGGACCACCACAGCTGCAACTACCAGAGTGGCCGAATCTACTAATACATCCTCACACAAAGCAGGCGCACGGCAACCCAGGGGCGTTCCAACTACACGTGTGGACTGTATCAAGGCGTGCTTGAACAAGAGAGGGTACTCCGCCAGAGCAGCGAAAGCATTGACACTAGCTCTACGCAAGTCTACACGCAACTTGTACGACGACAAGTGGCGAAGTTTCGAGACATACGCTGCAAGAAACGGTTTTTCAGCTAGAAAAGGAACACACCCTCAAGTGGCAGAC